CTCCGGAGTCCCCGGTGCAGGGAAGCCCTCCAGTCACCCAGGCTACTTGCAGGGGCTCGGCTTAGGGGGATGCTGGCGTGGGCAGGAGACGAGGGGCTCCACATGGCCTCACCGCTCACCCAGGACGATGGGGGATGCTTGTGACATCATGGAAGGGCTGGGGCATGTGAGGCAGGCCAGGTGCCATGGTTTCCCGATGGACAGGCATCTCGTGGCAGCTGTAAAGGGTGTGGGGCGGCTGCCACCAGGGCCCAGGAAGGCCAGGATCCTTCCTCAAGTGACCAGGTGGGATCTGGGTCACCAAGAGCCTGCAGCCCCCAGGCCAGTGGGTCCAGGTCCTCCATCCCCAGGGGCCATCTGGTGGGAACCTAGGCTGGGCTCTGGCTGAGACTCAAGGCTGGAGGGTCCCCAGCCCGGAAGGCTGTGGGGAGGTGGTGTGGGTGGCCTCTGGAGGGACCAGCTGGGCCCCTGGCTGACCACCCTCCTGTCAGCCCTGGGGGCTGCACTAAGCTTCCTGAGGTGCCATCCCCTCCTCTGTGTCCCTAGCCTGGGGGTCATGCTGGACCCCCAGCCGCTGAAGCAGGAGCCAGGCCCTGGGGCCACCTGAGGAGGGGCTGCATGGCCCTCTGGGCTGATCAGTTCCATGCCCTGGCTGGAGGGCCCATCGTCCTCCTGACACCCTGGGAGCAGTGGAAGGAGGTCCTGCACCCGGCGTGCCTGTGTGACACGGGGGTGCTGGTGAGGGAATGGAGTCTGGGCTGAGGGGGACAGAGGCTGGGGGGTTGGGGTCTGTGGCTGCTGCACCGCCTCCTGACTGTCCCTTTGCCCATCAGCTAAGCACAGAAAATGTGAGGGCCTCCAAGCCTGCGGCAGGAGCGGGCCGCCTGGGCCCCCTGGCTGGGTCTTGGGTCTGGGCTCTGAAGCCCCTGTCCACGGCTGGTGGCAGCTGCCCTGGAGCCCACTCCGTCCCCTCCTTAAGAACCCTCTCTTGGCCCTTGGCCCCCTCTCCCCTGGTCTGGTGTCCACCACCCTCTGCAGGGTCCCTGTCCATCCCTGCAGGGCTTCCGAGGTGCCCATGAGCTGGGCCCCGGCTGCCCCTCCATCCCCTCCACGACGGCCGGCTCTGCCTGGGAGCCCTTGGAGGCAGGGTCACTGCGGCCTCCTGGGATGCCCACTTCCGAGGGCCTGACGCCACTGGTTCAGGCCGTGTCTCTGTGGGACGGCAGCCCGTCCCCCAACCACGCCGGGGGGTGGGGATTGAGGACAGTAAAAATAGACGTTATGCCATGTCAGGGGTTCATGGTAAGGGTTTTTTTTTAAGCTCAAGTTTCTTTGATAAAATATTTTCCCATGGTGGACGGCACTAGGAATGTTCCCCACCCCCACCCTGCCCCAGAGGACACAGCCCTGCCCTCTACTTGAGACTCACAGCCCCATTGGGCTGGTGGTCCATCCGCCCTTGAGGGGTGCCACTCCCTGCCTGGCTCAGGGACACACGTGGGCAGATGCTACCAGAAAGCCGGTGCCAGGAACGCCAGCACCCGGGACTCCCACCGCTCGGGGTCCCTGCTGAGTGGTGGAGCTGGCAGTGGCCACAGACCCCTGGCCAGGTCCCTGGCCTGTCTCTGGGCTCAGCCACGCCACCCGGAGAGCACCCCGGCCTCGCACTGGGGACACTGCACGTCCAGTGGGCTTTCCCTCCGGGAACGGCACCAAAATAGCCAGAGGAAGGAGAAGAAAATGGAAAGTCAGGCAGGCAGCAGGCGCTCTCCAGGGAGCTGGCCGGCTCTGGCCCAAGCTGGGGGAACAGCGGAGGCTGTGAGCCTCAGGTCCTGTGACCAAGCCCAGAGCCAGGCCCCGGGGGCAGCTCCGGGGCAGAGGGCCCATCTCTGCTGCTGGGTCAGCCTGAGCTTGATGCTATCTGCTGGCCAGTGACGGTCAGCAGCCCCCTGGTGTCCACACAGTGCATGGTGGCCTCAGGCAGGGCCGGGGTCTGCAGCCATGTGGAGCTGGGCCCAGCTTCGTTGCTCTGTCTGTGCCCACCTTGCTGGCCCTGAGGACGGGGCCTCCCTTGGCCCCTAGGGTAGGGATGGGGCAGCCAGCGTGTGGGGTGGCTGGTCAGTGGTGTTCCCAGCTGCCCACTCAGGCCAAGCTCCCAGGGTTCGGCTGCAGGGCTGCTGGAGCGGGTGGTGGGAATGTGGCCTGAGCCTGCCCAGTCCTAGGAAGAACTTTCCAGAGCACATGCCCAGCATGGGCGAGTGGCCTGGGGCCCTGGCCCTCCACGCCCCAAGCACCTCTCGGGACTCCAGAGCCGAGGAGGCAGGCGCACACGTGGGGCCCGGGGCTGCGGGCACTGGGCCACCAGCTGGCTGATGTGCTTGTGCAAAGCAAGCTCCATTCTCCCCAAGCCGATGCCCTGGAAGGCTGGGCGCCACGTAGATGTCTCGGCTTCTCAGAGACGAGACCCCTTTCCTGCCCTCCTGGAACCATCTTGCTGGCCCTACGGGGCCCTTGTGCACGTGGGGGCCCTCTCCCCACAGCGCTCTGTCACCTGCCCAAGGACACCCTGCTAGGGCCTACCAGGGTCCCAGCCCTGACAAGGGCCTCCCTTCCAGCTGGGCTCCCACCTGACGTCGCATGTGGCCCACACACGGGGCTCTGCGTGGACTGGCACCACTCCTGTGCCAGGGGGCTCAGGTTCTGGCCGCCAGTGTGTGCTCTGCTCCCAGGCCAGGCAGCCACAGCCCCTGTGGGACGCATGGGTCTCTCCTCGCTGCGCCCCGCCCAGCATCTGTGGGCTGTGCACACTGACTGAGAGAGACCCACGTGTCTGCAGGGCCCTGGGCTGGGCAGTCTGTGGGGCCAAGGCAACCCGTCTGCCCCTTCCCCATGTCGCCCCACATGGAGGGGCTGGCACGGGTGGCAGGTGGCTGAGGGCTGCAGCCAGGGCCCAGGTGCCCTCCGGGCTGGACCCCCACTGGCTGTTGTGTCTCTGAGACCCAGCTGCTCCCTCCTTCACTGCCTTGGTCCTGGGCGGCAGGTGCTGCCCCTCTGGGCTGTGCATTTGCTGGCCCCCAAGGCGGGTGTGGCTCTGGCCCTGGCCCCTCCCAGGCCTGCTCTCTCACAGAACCTGCAGGCCCCCTGGGCCTGGTGCTCCTGTTTGCCATGGCAGGGGCAGCCTGGGGGCTGCAGGGTGTGGTTGCCAGAGTGGCATCAGCAACCGGAGCTGCCAGCGAAGAGGCAGGGCGGACATGGGGCCGGGTGGCCCCCACCTGCTCAGCACCCCCCAACCCCCTTCCTGTCCTCAGCCAGGCCAACGTCCGCTCTTCCGCCTCACACCCTGTACACCCTTCTCCACACAGGGCTTGGCGGCCCCTCTGTGCCTGGCCTGGGTCCTCAGGGGCGCTCCCCAGCACCCGGCTGCCCGGGGCTCCAGCAGGGGTTTCCTCCCAGCTATCCAACTTCCTGTTTTCTCAAGAAAATGCAGCCGTCGGATTCTGAAAAGCTCATTAACATGCCTCCCCAGGCGTCCCGGACATCCTGGGGTCTTTACAGCGCTTGCCGCGGAGCACAGACAAAGAGAGGCAGCGGACACGGTTCCTGCCGCCCGGAGACCAAGGCTGAGGGAGAGGCCCCTGCAGCGCACTTCCTTGCTGCCTGAGGCAGAGGCCGCTGTCCCTGCAGGGCAGTGGTGCCAGAGGGTCAGCTGCACCCCCAGCGCAGGGGCCTGTGTGCTCAGGTGCGCGGCTGGCTGCAGGTCTGGAGCCACGGCTTCCCCTTTCCTTCCTGCATCAAACCCAGCGGGCCCAGCCTGAGGACTCAGGGGCAGGAGGGCGGCAGCAGGAGGCCCAGGGCTGCTTCTGTCTGCTCAGCCAGGTGGGCACCACTGAGGACCATGCTGTGGAGCTGAGCTCAGGGCCTCTCCCTACCCAGCCCAGGTGCCAGCAGGGACCCTGGCAGTGGCCTCCATAAGGGGGTCTCCCTCCATAAGGGGGTCTCAAAACTTCCCCAGAAAACGGGGCTTGAGAGGCTAGGTAGAGTGGTTCACGCCTGTAATCCCAGCACTTTGGGAGGATGAGGCAGGTGGATCACCTGAGGTCAGGAGTTCGAGACCATCCTGACCAACATGGTGAAGTCCCATATCTACTAAAAATATAAGAATTAGCTGGGCGCGGTGGACACGTCTGTAATCCCAGCTACTCAGGAAGCTGAGGTGGGAGAATCACCTGAACCTGGGAGGCAGAGGCTGCAGTGAGCTGAGATTGAACCATTGCACTCCCGCCTGCACGGTTGAATGAGACTCCGTCCCCCCACAAAACAAAACCGGGCTTAAAGGAGCAGCCACAACCTGCTGCTCTAGCGGAATATTGATGTAGCCCTAACTCCAGAACGTTCTGGGAGCTTCCGAGAGCCAGGACAGCCCCACAGTCCTCCTTCTCCCATGTTGCCCACGGAGACCCTGATGCTGAGGGCAGTCTCACCCTGTCCTGGCGTGGAGGGGCAAAGGCAGCATCAGTGCCCCCTGGCCATGCCCAGGTGCCCAGTGGGCTCAAACCAGATGGTTAGACAGTGCGGCTCCGGGGTCCCGGGCAGCTGACTCAGCCCAGCCCCGCACTGGGGACAGGACAGGAGGGAGAGAAGTGAGTGGGGCTCTGGGCCACCTTCTGCCTCCCCATGGATGTCCACTGAGGTCTGACAGCTCCCACTCTGGGACTCTCTTGCCCAGACCTTGCTAGATGACACCAAGAGACGCAGGCCATTCTGTGTGTTGCCTTTGGAAGGCAGGACCCACCCAGCCCGCAGGGAAGTCCACGGTTTCCCTCGATGCCTGCCAGAAGCCCCGTGGGGGCTGGCGGGAGTTTCTCAAATCCAAACCAGCACCTGCTTGGGGCTGTGCCGTCCCCTGGCCCTGCCGGCTGCACGAGGGACGCTCTGCCGGCCCCAGACCCCGACCCCTGATCCGGTGCCAGCCTGAGGCGGGATAGGTACTCGGGACCCACCTGGCAGCGGCTAAAGATGTCTTCATGGGTGACACGCACATTGAAATGCCTGAGGACAGACTTGGCCTGCTGCTGGGCCTTCAGGGAGCCGTCGACCAGGAGGCAGCGCCCAGCCCCGACCTGGGCCCGGAGCTGCAAAGGCACGGCTAGGCTGCTGAGGGGCAGCACGGAGCCTGGCACCTGCCCAGGCCCAGCCCGCCTCACCAGCACGGGGAAGGGGCCCTCTCTCAGCCCATCAGGGGTACGGCAGAGGTGCCGGGGTCCAGCCCACGGCAAGCTAACCCTGAGGTGGGGGTGGCCGAGGGGCTGGGAGCTTGGGAAGATGGGGCTTGGCCCCTCGGGCTCATCCGTGGGGCACTCACCGTGTGGTAGGGCTGCCCTGACGTCAGGATGATCCTCCCCTCCAGCCTGGCGACCTATGCAGGAGGAGAGACCAGGGGTGAGGGCACAGCTCCGTGCTCCTGGGACAGCCACCTCTGCTCGCCGCCCCCCAGCTCCCCGGATCCTGGCCCTGCCCCAGGCCCCCTGTCCCCCAGGGCGGCCTCTGCCCGGGGTCTGCGTGGTTAGGAGCCCTTGCAGCCCAGGGCCTGGGTAGCACCTCATTGTGAAGATTTAATCTTGGTACCATGCAAACATTTTTCACAATTACAAACAAAATCGAATTTAAAAAGCCATACCTCAAAAGCAGAAGAAAATGAAAAAAATAAAACATACACAGAGGTATTCCAAGAGACTCCAGATATTTGAAAACACAGTAACTTGACCCCATAGCTCTGGGGAGCTAACCACATATCAGGAATGGAAAATATGCTGCAATAACCCCCTCTTGGTGCAGGACTGACCCGCGACCCCAAAGCTTTGTGTGAACGGCGGCGTAACACAGATGTCCCATGTGGCTGATTTTTTCAGTATTAGAGTTTTCAGCTGACAAAGGAGGTAAAAATTCAGGATATTAAGCTTACAGGAAAACCCCTGGACGGCTTCGGTATGAATTTCTGATGTACGCTATACATTTTTTAACACGTGTATTTCCGAACTCTGCCCACTGCAAAGGCCTGGAGGCAAGGCCTGCCCTGCAGCTGGGAGCACGCCGCACCCACACTGGTTTCTACGGACATTTTACACCAAAAGCAGCCTGAACTTTTTGGAGAAATGACTGATTCCAGATCTAAGGCAGAAATACAGACAATGAGGCTGAAGCATCCAGACCCCACAGAAAGCCACGGTGACAGTGAGGCTGGAGCGTCCAGATGCCACAGAAAGCCACGGTGACAGTGAGGCTGGAGCGTCCAGACGCCACAGAAAGCCACGGTGACAGTGAGGCTGGAGCGTCCAGACGCCACAGAAAGCCACGGTGACAGTGAGGCTGGAGAGTCCAGACGCCGCAGAAAGCCACGGTGACAGTGAGACTGGAGCGTCCAGACGCCGCAGAAAGCCACGGTGACAGTGAGGCTGGAGCGTCCAGACGCCACAGAAAGCCACGGTGACAATGAGGCTGGAGTGTCCAGACCCCACAGAAAGCCACGGCGACCGTGAGGCTGAAGCATCCAGGCGCCACAGAAAGCCACGGTGACAATGAGGCTGGACCACAGAAAGCCAGGGTGACAGTGAGGCTGAAGCATCCAGGCGCCACAGAAAGCCACGGTGACAGTGAGGCTGGAGTGTTCAGACCCCGCAGAAAGCCACGGTGACAATGAGGCTGGACCACAGAAAGCCACGGTGACAATGAGGCTGGAGCGTCCAGACCCTGCAGAAAGCCACGGTGACAATGAGGCTGGACCACAGAAAGCCAGGGTGACAGTGAGGCTGGAGTGTCCAGACCCTGCAGAAAGCCACGGTGATCCAAGAGCCAAGGGTCACATCCAAGGACTCAGGAGCCAGTGGGGCTCCCGTGCCACAGGGAGGCGACATGCTGACCAGCCAGGGAAGTCGGGGAACAGAGGTGGTGGAGGAGGATGTGGACGCCCTTCTATGCGTTCAGAATAGTTCCTTAATATCATTTATCTTTTTGTTTTGAGACAGAGTCTCGCTGTGTCACCCAGGCTGGAGTGCAGTGGCATGATCTCGGCTCACCGCAACCTCTGACTCCCCGGCTCAAGCGATTCTCCAGCCTCAGCCTCCTGAGTAGCTGGGATTACAGGCACCTGCCACCACACCTGGCTAATTTTTGTATTTTTAGTAGAGATGGGGCGTCGTGATGTTGGCCAGGCTGGTCTCAAACTCCCGACATCAGGTGATCTGCCTGCCTCAGCCTCCCAAAGTGTTGGGATTCCAGGCGTGAGCCCCTGTGCCCGGCAGGATAGCTTTGATAAAAATGGAAAAAAAGGAAAGTAAGCACTGGTGAGGACGTGGGGAAACTGGGACCCCCATGCATCGCTGCTGGGAATGTAAACGGTGCGGCCGCTGCGGAAAACTCTGGTAGCCCCTCAAAAAGCGAAACACAGAATGAGTACATGATTCAGCAGTTCACTTTTCGCTCTGCAAGCAAAAGCGCTGAAAGCAGGAATTCAAACAGAGACTCATACATCAGTGTTCACAGCAGCCTCATTCAGAATGGCCAGAAGGGAGAAGCAGCCCGCGTGCCCAACTGCAGATGAAGAGAAAACACCGCGTGGTCCGCCCTGCAGTGGACGCCACCCAGCCTCGGAGGGGAAGGCGCTCCGACACGGGCTGCGGCGAGGTAAACCCTTAAGACACGCCGAGTGGCTAAGTCAGGCACAAACCGATGGGTGCTACATGACTCCACTTCTCCCAGGTACCTAGGACAGGTAAATTCATAGAGGCAGAAAGTAGAACAGTGGCCCCCAGGGCTGGTGGGGGAGAGGGGTACCTATGGTAGAGTCTTTAGGATGATACAAAGTTCTGGAAATAGGTACTGGTATGGATAAATGACATTGTGAATATACCTAATGCCACTGAATTGTACACTTAAACATGGTCAAAATGAGGCCAGTATGGTGGCTCACACCTGTTATTCCAGCACTTTGGGAGGTCAACGGAGGCGGATCACGAGGTCAGGAGATCGAGACCAGCCTGGCCAACATGGTGAAACCCTGTGCCTACTGAAGATACAAAAATAAGCCAGGTGTGGTGGCGCGTGCCTGGTCCCAGCTACTTGGGAGGCTGAGGTGGGAGAACTGCTTGAACCCGGGAGGTGGAGGTTGCAGTGAGCCGAGATCGTGCCACTGCACTCCAGCCTGGGCGACAGAGTGAGACTGCGTCTCAAAAAAAAAAAAAGGTTAAAATGGTAAATTTTGTGTTGTGTATGTTTCACCACAAAAAAGGAACAAAAAAGCAACACAGGTAGTTACTTTGTGGTGATAACAAATATACACCTACATGATGAACAGAAACAGTGGAACAAACGCAACTGGCAAATAAAGTAATTACAGGGAGACACATGAAAACACAGGCCACAGAGAAGAAAGACTAGTTACACAGGGGCCACACAGGTTACACTGAAACTACACAGGGGCCACACAGGAACCACACAGGGGCCACACAGGAACCACACAGGGGGTACACAGGAACCACACAGGGGGTACACAGGGGCCACACAGGAACCACACAGGGGGTACACAGGAACCACACAGGGGGTACACAGGGGCCACACAGGAACCACATAGGGGCCACACAGGAACCACACGGGGTACACAGGAGCCACACAGGGGCCACACAGGGTACACACGAACCACATAGGGGCCACACAGGAACCACACAGGGGCCACGCAGGAACCACACAGGGGGTACACACGAACCACATAGGGGCCACACAGGAGCCACACAGGGGCCACACGGGGTACACAGGAACCACACAGGGAGTACACAGGAACCACACAGGGGCCACACAGGAACTACACAGGGGCCACAAAGGAACTACACAGGAATTACACAGGGGCCACACAGGGGCTACACAGGGGCTACGCAGGAACTACACAGGGGCTACGCAGGAACTACACAGGAACTACGCAGGGGCCACAAAGGAACTACACAGGAATTACACAGGGGCCACACAGGGGCCACACAGGGCTACACAGGAACTACACAGGGCTACACAGGGGCCACACAGGGCTACACAGGAACTACACGGGGCTACACAGGGGCCACACAGGGCTACACAGGAACTACACAGGGTTACCCGGGCTACACAGGACCTACATAGGGCTACACAGGGGCTACACAGGGCTACACAGGAACTACACGGGGCTACACAGGGCTACACAGGAACTACACAGGAACTACACAGGGCTACACAGGGGCCACACAGGGCTACACAGGAACTACACAGGGTTACCCGGGCTACACAGGACCTACATAGGGCTACACAGGGGCTACACAGGGCTACACAGGAACTACACGGGGCTACACAGGGCTACACAGGAACTACACAGGAACTACACAGGGCTACACAGGGGCCACACAGGGCTACACAGGAACTACACGGGGCTACACAGGGGCTACACAGGGCTACACAGGAACTACACAGGGCTACACAGGGGCCACACAGGGCTACACAGGAACTACACAGGGCTACACAGGGGCCACACAGGGCTACACAGGAACTACACGGGGCTACACAGGGGCCAAAGAGGGGCTACACAGGAACTACACAGGGCTACACAGGGGCCACACAGGGCTACACAGGGGCCACACAGGGCTACACAGGAACTACACGGGGCTACACAGGGCTACACAGGAACTACACAGGAACTACACAGGGCTACACAGGGGCCACACAGGGCTACACAGGAACTACACAGGGTTACCCGGGCTACACAGGAACTACACAGGGTTACCCGGGCTACACAGGGACCACACAGGAGCTACATGGAGGCTACACAGGAGGGATAAAAAACTACATGTTGGGTACAATGTATACTATTTGGGTGACTGCAGTGAAATCCCAGACCTCAATATTATACAATTCTTCCATGTAACCAAAAGCCACTTGTACCCCAAAAAGTATTGAAATACATGAAACATAAAGTATGTTTCCTGACTTAACTGTAACTTTAGATATTGTTAACCCTAATATACATGTTAACGTTCTCGGCCAGGCTTGGCGGCTCGTGACTAATCCCAGCACTTTGGGAAACCGAGGCCGCTTGAGGTCAGGAAGTGGAGACCAGCCTGGCCAGCATGGCGAAACCCCACCTCTGCTAAAAACACAAACAGCCGCGCGTGGCGCGTGGCGGTGCGTACCCGTAGTCCCAGCTCCCTGGGGGGGAGGCAGAACTGCTGGAATCCGAGGCGGATGTTGCAGTGAGTCGAGATGGCGCCACTGCACTCCAGCCTGGGTGACAGAGTGAGCCTCTGTCTTAAAAAAAACAAACAAAAAAAAAACCATAGCAAAATATGCATATTTTAAGAAAACAAGAAAAGCAATGTAATAGAATTTACAGCTTTCAAACTGACT